ATGAATGCATATAAATTACGAATTAAAGTTTAACCAATAAGGATATGCAGATCATCGGACATGTCTGCTGACCGATATATAAGTATTTTTTTTAAGGATATACTCTAGTGACAAACTCCGCGATTGGCAGATGATCGTACGTAATTTAACCATATTTGTATGTTAAATGAATCATATCATATTGTATTACGTTACCTGAGTATACTAAATGCATTAATTTTTTTTTTTTTTGCATTAACGTTAACGTTTGTATTCTATATAATTAAAAATGGGCCTTAGAAAATTATTTACAAAAAAACATTTACCATTTATACTGAACTATAAGAGGAAGTCTCTTATTTACAATAACTGGAATAAACTTTACAGCACAAGCACTATATGTTTAAATAAAGTTCATGAACCCATCTCTAACGGACCTTTGTCCGGGATTAGAGTAGTGGATCTTACACGTGTATTAGGTGTGAATTCTTAGAAATTGACATTTTGTTTCACAACAAAAACAACAATAATAATAATAATGATTCTTTTAAAATTTAGCTGGGCCTTATTGTACTATGTTATTGGGAGATTTGGGGTAAATTTATAATGAAAATTTAAAATCTAACATGCATTAAAAATGACAAGATTAATATTAAATGTTTTAGAATTATGTGAATTTTAATAATTTTAGTAATTATAATCATATTTAATAATATATTATTTAGTGCTGAAGTAATAAAGGTAGAAAATCCAAAAATTGGTGATGATACTCGTACATGGGGGCCACCTTGGGCAACAAATAAAGATCCTAATGACCTTTCAACACCGGAAAGTGCTTACTTTTTGTCGATTAACAGGAATAAAAAATCAATCACTGTAAATTTAAAGTCACCCGCTAGTATAAATATAATAAAAGATTTGGTCAAGCAGAGTGACATATTAGTGGAAAATTACATTCCTGGAAAGTTGGATAAAATGGGATTAGGTTTTGATGAATTGAGCAAAATTAATCCACAGTTAATCTATGCTTCAGTTACTGGTAAAAAATTTTTGTTTCTTTTGTTAGTTTAGATAAAATTAGTATACTTTTTTTCTATTGCTTAAGTCTATTTAAATTCAAAGTCTTACACATACTGTCATAAAAGGTTATGGCCAAACAGGACCTTATTCAAAACATGCTGGATATGACGTCGTGATAGAGGTGGGTAGATACTATTTTTCTGATTATTTGTTCAATTAAATAATCAAAAGTTCTTTAGGCAGAGGCTGGTTTAATGTATATTACAGGTGAAGAGGACAGACCACCTGTAAAGGTTGGTGTGGCTATAACAGGTATAATTTTTTTTTGATATAATAATATAATCTTTTGAACGTTAAGATTACGAGATTATTAAGATTATTACTATTTTTTAATTGTAAGATTTAACAACAGGTACATTATGCTAAAATTTCTTAGACATCAAATAGATTAATTTGAATTAAATCAGTTCTTAATTTTCATTATAATGATAAAGGACTTTATACACATGGAGCAATTATGGCTGCACTGATATCACGAAACAAGACAAACCTTGGTCAAAGAATAGATTGTTCACTTATTGAATGTCAAGTTGCTTCATTAGCAAACATTGCTAGCAATTATCTCATTTCTAATCAAGAAGCTAAACGAATGGGTACATCTCATCCCTCTATTGTTCCATATCAAGTATTTCCAACTAAAGATGGTTTTATTATGATTGGTGCTGGAAATAATAAACAATTTAAAATTTTATGCAATACAATTGACAAAGATGAATTAATAAATGATCCAAGATTTACTACAAATTCGGATCGCATATTTCATCGTAAAGAATTAATTTCACTTTTAGAGGAAAGATTCATGAATGAAACTACTAATCATTGGCTATCTTTATTATCTGATAAGGAAATTCCTTTTGCTCCAATTAATAATATTCAGCAAACTTTTGAACATCCTCAAATTCTTGTTCGTGGAATGATACAAGAAGTTGATCATCCTAAAGCTGGCAAAATTAAGCTAACAGGTTAAATATTTTGTTATTCAGATACTTAAATAAATAGTTATTTTATTTGTAATATTTATTTTTGTCATGATTTTAGGCATTCCTGTTAAATATAGTAGAGAAGCATTGAAAATAAGATCACCACCTCCAACACTGGGACAACATACACGTGAAATTTTAACTAATTTATTACATTATACTAATGAGAAAATAAATCTTTTAAAAGAAACTGGGGTTATTTAGATGTTTGTTAAAATATTAAATTTTTTTAGATTTTTTTAGATAACAAAATTTTCGTTTTCATTTGTCTTTTTGATTTGAAATTGATTTTATGCTTTATGTAAAATCATTAATCTGTATGTTTTTCTTAAAATATTTTTTATTTGCCTTATATTTATTTAGAGCTGCAAATTAATTTATGAAGTTCATATACTTCATTGATTAAACTAGTGACGATTAAATTATGCAATTTCTACGTCAATATGTTTATTATACTACAATGAACAATTTTTTTAACTATGGAGTCTTCTATGGAGTCTTAAGTGTATTAAAATTAAAACATCGATCAGTATCAAAAAGCCGAACCACGATCAGAGCCGCCAGATTTTGGCAATAATAAAAATAGCATTAGCAATATCGCGACAAGCACTCCTTAAATGCGTGCCAGGTTTGTAGCACAGTTTCTACGAATCAGATCTCAATATTAGGCGTAACATAACACGATCAGAAAAATTCAAAACAAACGTTTGTATTATCAAAAAACGCTTATTACTCGAAAACATGCATAAGAAATCACCTTCAGTGCTATAACTTGCGCGATTTTACACTGTATTCCACTATTAAATAATCTTAATTCAGGTGCTAGCATAAATGAACTTTAAAATTTCGCCTGCGTCACATACTTGCACACATTCGAGAATTGCATTATATAGCATTCATAATATGCTTACAGCAGCATAGCGAACTTTTATTGTGATTGGCTGATTTTTGTAGATCATCTCGTCATACTAAAGTATTATTAAAGTAACG